TCGCAACAAGGCTATGTTTTCTTTGAGGTTTTATTTTCTTGTAGCTTTGTTACAGGACAGGTTGAAGATGAGTTTCACATGTTTTTTGGAAAAAAAACACTGGAAGATATACTATGTCTTAGGATTCAGAATTTGTTACATGGAGATGCAAAATCGCTATAATATATGAGATGATTGTGTTAATTTATCCAAGTTCCAAACTTTTATATAGTTTTATACATATAATTTTTATATAGAGGATTTCCTCGTAGTTACACATGAATTTTAACATGTTTGGAGTATTATTCCTATTAAAAAAAGAGATCTGGTTGTGAGGATTTATTCCCACTAGTTTTGGAGTCCAGCCCGATTAGAAAATATCGCAAAGATATGTTAGCAACTAGTTGTTGGGGTGCTTCCCTGTTGTAATCCTTAGTAAATGGAGAAGTTTGAACAAAGAAAAAAAAGATCTATAGGATGAACCAAAAAAGATCTTGCCAAGAAATTCTAGGAGGACACTATTAACTTCACTATTAAAACCCTTTATACTATATTATTAAGAGAAGGTGAAATAGCGAGTTGGATGAAGGATATGTGACACTGGAGAAGACACTTAAGGATCAGAAATGCAGTATGAATCCAAGGAAACAAACAGACAAAATTGAATTTAAAGTATATTGAATTTATGAAACTAAATATGAAAGCAATTCCTAATAATAAATCACTAAAATAGCAATGCATTGTAAAAGATGTTATCTGAGATGCAATGAGATCTAAGGATATAAGTATAATCAAAATAATTATAAATATTTAAAGATCAAGAGCGATGCACTACTAGTAAATTGAAATCAAGGGTAGTGGTTAGAGTTCACCTAAGTGGTTTGTGCCTAAACAATTAGATTCCTTCACAAATAGTTGTGATCTTGCACAGAAACTTGAGAATAGTTGATTCAACAACTCATATTGATTCTACCAAGAACCTGAGAACACAAATAATTAAATCTAGAAATAATTTAAATCAAAGTACGCAATTCCATAGGAGGGTAAACTGAGTGGTCGAGGGAAGCCATCTAGTGTCAGCGAAGATCTCATTGATTGAAGTCAAGATCGTTAAGGTCAGGATGGGCGCTGCTACAGATGTAAAGATGTTGACTGCAGGCAGAGGGCTTTGCGGGAGCGTTTCTTGATGTGTGTTCAAGGTTTTAAATGTCGGATGTCGGGTTCATGTCGGATGGCTGAAATCCACGTCGGATAGCGAAAATCAGGGATATATCGGGGGACATTGACTAAATATCGAATTGCCATATCGAGTAGTACGCATATGTATAATATCATGTCCTAAATATAATCTAAGCATTCATAAATTTAATATAAGCATACTTTATAAATATGTATAATATCATGTCCTAAATATAATCTAAGCATTCATAAATTTAATATAAGCATACTTTATAAACTCTATAGACTAAACATATAAAAAATATAATCTAAGCATTCATAAATTTAATATAAGCATACTTTATAAACTCTATAGACTAAACATATAAAAAAGTAAATAATATATGATTTGGGTTCATAAATTCTTTCTATCGGGTTCATAAGAAACCCTTAAACATGAGAACGGGTCAAACAGATTTGGGCGTTTATCACTAAACCCAAACCCGATAACAAAAAATATATCTTAAAAAAAGTACCATATCGGTCGATTTTTTAAAGCTAAAAATATGCCGATATGCCCGATATGACCCTGATATTTCCGATTTGGCCCTGAAAATCGACATACGAGTTGAAAACGTCCATGTCGTGTCGGTCAAGCCCTCAAACCGATATGTCGACCGACATGTCGAACATGTCGTCCGACATTTAAAACCTTGTGTGTGTTAGACCGCGAGAACTTCACTCACGTGTGTTTCTGAATGCGAAAAAAGAGGAGCGAAGGCAAGCGAAAACACACACGAGGACTATATAGCTGCACATAATTCTTTTCTTCTGTGAACTAAGCTAGGGTTTTATTGGTGAAACGGTGAGATTATAAATGGGTATGAGATGGACGGACGTATGGCAACTCATATGCCTTAGATAAGAATTGCAACACACATGTAAAATAGATGACAATTCACATGCTAAAACATCTCTAGCAGAAAATATCTTTTCTCAATTTCATAAATCATCGTCTACCTCTTTTATGAGAGTTATGGATATTTATAATTAAAAAAATCCTAAAAATTAAACATGTCCAAATTGAAACCTTATCGTAAAGATAAATCCAAAGGTCTAAGCTCTTATCTAAATAAACAAAAATAATCCGTCAACAGGATCATTATCTAAAAGATAAAATCTTATCTAAAATAAAAAATTTCATGCTGAACCCTATCAATAGGTATTGAACCATTCTAACCTAGGTTATTCAGATACTTCATCTAAGCTCCTATATCCATGTCCGACGCTTTCCTATCTGTGTCCGTGTCCGATTCTCATTGGACACTTCTTGAATATATACATACAACTATTCAAACATGTACACAATAATATAACACATGTTTTAGTTTAAAAAACTTGTGATGCGAACGTATATTATACACTTCAACTAAAATTTATGCAACTCGTTGGACTTAGAGAGGATTTGTTTTAGCACATACCTAGTTCATAAATGATTTTAAGGGATCGTCTCGGTATATGGTTAAAAACAAGCACTTTCTTAATTTGTAATATATTTAGTAAAAAACATAAAAATGATATAAGGATTTTAGTTCTCATGACATGTGAGTGAAAAACAATATCAATCTCATATAGATTATTAACTTTAATATATATGTATATATTCCTGTCCTCGTATCCTATCTTACAAATTTGCTGTGTTCCGTATCCGCACCCGTGTCCATGTCAACACCCACACCCATATCCATACAACATAGATTCTAATTTCTAACCATCTATCTTGAGAGACTTGGTAGAAAGAAACAGAGAACATTTAGTTTTTTTACTCTCCAGAAATAGACTTTTTAGTTGTTGTTCTCATAATATTCTATACGTGAATTGGAGGGGAAGATCTGATTGGATTAATGACAATTAGATGTTTAATGAAATATTTATACACCAGAAAGGCTGAAAGAATGAAAGAATGACTTGTTGCATAGGAGTTTTTCATTCAGGTTAAAGAAAAACAGTAGATAATGTCTTGAGTTGTATTCCATTGTTCAATATTTTGTAGCATAGCTACTCTTATAAACTTGTGACTTCCATTGTTGCTAAAAAACCTGTTGAGCGTCGGTTCGCTATATTGTTATTGGGATATTTTGGGCCCCTACTTCTTGCTTGAAAAGATTTTTACATTGTATATATCATCTACTTTTAGTTAATATTATTGTTTTATTGAAGAGTTTAGCAACCATTCATATTTGAATTATTTGCACTTTAATACGCCAAAATTTCACCTTTTCTTGGGCTTGATAGCTTGGAAGTTCCATTTTCACAAATTGACACAGCAAATTGCAATCAAGTTGATGTTAATTTTGTTAAGGTTTGTGAGGAACACTTTCCGTACCAAATTTCGGTCTTTGGAGTTTGGGAGAAGGAGTTAGCTCTTGGGGGTATCAAATTGTCAAACTAATGTCAATTTGAAAAGGTTGGGTGTATAAAAGTTTGCAAATTATAACTTCAGGGTATCAAAGTTATAAAAGATGAAATTTTGGGATTTTAGAGTTTAAACAAGCCTATTGTCTTCTCTATTATTCAAAGTCTTAATTTTTGAGCTCCTCTTTATTTTCCCAGTTTTTTCTTTTCAAGTCATCGAAAAAGTCTGGACACTTTTTACCATTAAAGTCTAAGCCCTCCTGCTTTCCTCCAACTTTTGCTTTACACCACATTGGTACCTTCTAGATATATCATTTATATGGGTTTGGATACAAAGGAGGGTAGGAGGGGAATGATTGAAGTAAACCCATAGGGAGGGAATGTGGAGGGAGGGTATGTGATAAAACTAATTGTGTTTGGATAGATAACTATATAATTTGTGTTTGTTTATAGAGTCTTGAAATGGGAGGGAGGGACGCTACATGCCAAATATTACTTAAAGTATGGGAATAATCTTGGAATTTTTAGAGAATATAATTTAAAACTCAAACCCTCTCCTCCCAATCCGTCTAAAATCAATCCGTCCATTTTAGGAGGATTAAGAAAGTGAGCAAGTTTACTTCTCTGTAGCCCTCCATCCCTTCCCCTCACTATTTAAAAATTGTAACCAAAGACAGTTTTGGGACAGTTAGCATTATAACCTTCCCAGCTCCTCCCCTCCCCTCTAAAAAAAAGCTATCCTAGAGTTAAGGAACTTGTCCATAGACTCACAATATATATGATTTGTTCATAAGGTTAGAGTGGACATTATTATTGAATATTCCAGTAAATAAGATGAGAAACTTTTATACACGAGATATTGTGATTTATATGATGCAAACACCGTTAAATAGGAAGTGTTGTAAAGGGCCTAGGCCGCTGTTGAAGCGCTTCGACTTTGAAGGCAGTTTAGTAATACAAACAACCACCCGGGAAGTATCTAGGTGCTAGGCTTCCCTTGGATTCCTAGAACCACATAGTTTCTTTAGTATACTACACGGACATTTTGAAAGACTACAATACCATGTTTACTCTCGTTCAATATGAGATTTTTCAAAGCAGCTGATACTTTCGTTATCAGAATCGCATCTTCCTCACTTTCATTGAATATTCCAATAAAGAAGTTGATACTTTCATTATCAGTAATCAATCCGTCCATTTTCAAGCTGAAGCGCCATTATTATTAGCAGCCGGCGAGATTTGAAGTTGTACAACTTTCTACTTGGAAGTTGAATAGCATTTTTTTGCCTTCAAGCTCTGATTCCTAACATGGCCCCTCTTTAATATTAGCATGTCCATTACTATCTGCTCTTACTTTTAATTTTTCCAGCACCGAAAATATTAATATTTACTTGTTGGCAGTAGTATCTTTTCAATAATGTTTGTGCTGTTATTTTGTTTACTTGCAGCAACATGTGCCAAATGTGGGAATAATGAAGCATACTTCTACCAGATGCAGATTCGATCTGCCGATGAACCCATGACTACGTTTTATACATGCTGCAATGAGGGGTGTAAGCATGAGTGGAGAGAGGACTAAGTATTTTCCTCATCTGTTGCCTTCTTGTTAAAATTTTTTGCATTGTTAGGACTTGAAGTACCAGTTCGGTAAGGAGCGTGACTAAACAGAAGAGTTGAGGTGATATTAGGAGACCTAATGTTAGGAATTTATTCTGCTCTTTTGTGTAATTCAAGTTCAGCTAGAAGTTTTGATATTGGGAAAGTGCTCGGTGATTTGAGAATGTTTCCTTTTCATTTTATTTTTTCGCCCTCTTTTTTCAGATTGCAAACATAGTTCATTTATCTCAAAAGTCGATAAAGTTTGACAAGCGGATGTCATCTACGTCGCTCTCACTGACGTAGTGTTTCATTGTTGTTGAGTGAACATCAAAAGCTCTACTCTTTTAGCCGGTAAATAGTCTATCATATGTAATCATTAGAATCAAATCTTCATTTTTCTAAATGAACTTATTGTTATATATACTAAATAAATTACTACAGGAGCAGCTACGAGTAAAGACCCAAGTTTCTCCTTGAGTTCCCTCTGTCACTTTCAAACAGGGATTGTTATTTTCCCTTACGAGCAGGCGGTTCTCAGCCTTCAACTGGTTGCGTAGGCGTCAAAACAGACATTTCACTCTGTCCATGATTGGTGTAGAACCACCTATTCGCATAAGGGTGATAAAAAGGAGATTCATATTATTTCACTTCATGACAATAAACACATTATTACATGTTTTTTTTTTGGGGTGGGTGGGTGGGGGGGGGGGGTTGTCAGATACGCACAAATAGGATGTACACAAATATTCATTATCATGGATATACGTAACCGCTAGGATACACATGCTTACGAAATATCTCTATCTGATAGGATTTATAGTGAAATGTCTGGGTCTATGTTAAAGTATCCAAATATATGTTGATCGTACCGTTACACGTGTTTAATTCTTAGTTAATGGATCTAAGGTTAACTTTGATGACTAGACTTAGCTTTTCATATACAATAGGGCCCGTTTGGTTCTTTTTTTTTAAACATTGGAAGTTGGTTTACCTAGAAAAATAACCATCCAACTAAGATCTGACAACTACAGTTGATAACCACAAAAACGGATTATTTTGGAGGGGATTAGACAGAACTTGCCACCTAGGATTTTTAGTAGTTACATCACCCTCCTATTTACCCAAACAAGAAGTAATTGCTCGAAAGCCGATGTAGCCTGACAGCTACAATAACTTCCAAGCCAAAAAATGCCCAACCAAACATGCCCAAACATATTAATGAACTCTCTTGTACAATATGAGCTATGTCTTTTTTTTTTTTCCATCTTACATACTTTTCTCCTTTTCTCATACACAGATGGATATACACAAACTAGGAATATTAGTTTGCAAAAACTCGAAACGAAGCGATTTTCACAAGACCGAGGAAAGTATTCACCCCGTTGAACCGGACCGGACGGTATAAATAAGCATTAACTCCGAAGTCTGGACCGGGATCAAATCTTCACATTTCCGCGGACAGACTCATCCTTCAATCTCCTCCCGATTCCCTCGTCCAATCCACTCCATGGAGCCGAGCTGCCTCGATTCCCGTCACCTCCGGTTGTCGTTCTCCGCCGCCCCCACATTAGAAGCGATGGGGGGAGGTGATCGTAAGCGGGGCCTTTCGGTAAATTCAGCGAAGAAGAGGGGCTGTTCGAAGGACACCCTCCTCTCCCTCAGTGATCAGAAGCGGAGCTTATCCAAGATATTGAGGGAGGAGGCGGCGATCCTCAACGTTGAGCGCAAATCTGGATCCGGCAAGCACAGGAATCTGTGGCCCAAAGCAGTTCTTGAGGCCCTCGACGACGCCATCTCCAATAACCAGTGGGAATCCGCTCTCAAGGTAATAATCTCGCTTCTTCGTTTTTTTGTTTTTTCTTTAATTGGGTTACAGCTTAAACTTTGCTCAACTAGGGTTTTATTTATTGTTTATATATATACATAAGTTATGAAATTAATCTACAATGAGTTTGTTGGCTATCGTTCACGTCGAAGTAGGCTCCGGTTAGATTTTACTTTAGGCTAAATGGCACCTAAATACCCTATTGTTTCATCACCTCTACACTTAAATACCCTAAGTTGTGAAAAAAATAGCTCTTTGATACCATTAGTTGTGAAAAAAGCACTTCAGTACCCTATTGTTTCACTATCTTTATATTTAAATATTCTTTGTTGTAAAAAGCAGAACTTTAGTACCCTGAATTGTAAGAAAGTGGAACTTTTGATACCTTATGTTAGTTGTCAAGACAATTTCCTAAGAATATTCCAATGAATACTAATAAAAGGTACTAATGTGCCAAATTTTTTTCAACTTAGTGCGTTAAAATGCTACTTTTTACAACTTAGGGTGTTTAAGAGTAAAGGTTGTGAAACAATGAGGTATTTAATTGTCATTTAGCCTTTTACTTAACTCCAAACAAAACAATTAAAGAAGGAATAGAGTTTTGAAATTGGAATAGCTCAATTTTTATATCCAAACGTGACACGTGTTAGTGAAATTATAGTTTACTTTAAGAATTACAAACTACAATTTTAAACCTCTAACAACAACTTCCAAATAAACTACAGTTGAGAACGCCAAGAAGCGTCCTTTGAAATAAGTTGGGTTCCACTTCTTTCAAGATTTTGTACAAGCTTCTGATTTGCACTTGTAAGGTTAGGGTGTGGGAATAATTTGGCGAGGGTTTAAAAGTTGGGAAGTTCCAAAATTTCTGGGTGATGTGGTAAGTGTTCATCAAATTTGCAGAGGAAATATGTTTGGATGAAGCTGTTTGATTGCAGAGGAGGTGTGTGTATATAATGAGCTCGTTAAGTTACAATATAGCCATTAGCATTGTTGGAAAAAAGCGGTTGTGTAATCGCGATATGTAACATAAGAAACCTTAAACATTACATAACAGTTTGAAATAACTCCGACATGATATAACTCTGTGTTATTATAATAAATCATATACTATTTCAATATAACATAGCGCTATTACAATGTAATAGTAGCAGACTTCAGTGTAATTTATCATAGAGACTTGAAAGTAGTTATTAAAAAAAAAAAAACTTAGGAGTGGTGTTAGTATTTACTTTGATGGATTCTTTTGATGACATTATTATTTTTGTGATTGTGAACTTATGATCTGTGAAATGTGAAATTATGAACAGGATATGTAAATTTGTAATCATATATTTAATATTTTATTGTGATGCTGATTTAGTAGTGGCTTGCAAACTTTAAGAATTTTTGTAACTTTTTAAAATTTGAAATTATGTTTATAATTATTAAAATTATTATAGACATTTTTATCATTTTTAAATTACACAATAACAACAAAGATAACATATAAGTGTGTTATGTTCTGTGGGCTTTAAGCTGTTAAGAGCCCGAAGGTCAAGTTATATGTTATCATTATCTTCAACTTTGGCTTTAGTGCTTGCAGTACTCCATTTTAAGAAAAAGTAGCGTCCTTAAAATCTCTAGGCTGATCTATAGGTGTATAGGTTAGCATGTAGAGCTTCTTAGTTAGCTGTTAAACTTCCTAGATGCCACTTAATGGAATTAACATGAGATTTTGGCTCTGTAAGTAGCTATCTAAGCGCTAGACTTGCATTTTACATTAAACTAGCAGACAAATACCAAACCAACTAATCAATTTTCTTTATAGTAAATGAAAAAAGAAAAACCCTCCTGCATTCCATAACATTTACAAAGCAATACATGATTAGCTTGCAATATTTCCAATTAATTAACCAATTCTATGACTATGCCTTGTATTTTTCACAGTTGTTATTCTTTTGTAACCCAACTGGTCTCTAATCATGTGATACAGTTCCTTTATGTAAAATAGATTTTTGGGTTGCTCCGAAGGCAGCGCTGGTATGAACCGAAATCTCAAACCTATGCAAGGTTGTTGACAATGCTAGGGAAGGTTAGACAGATAGAACATGCAAGGTCACTCTTCCAAATCATGCTCTCTGAGGGTCTCAAACCAACGCTGGATGTATACACATCTCTTGTAGGTGCTTATGGCTATGGTGGTTTCTTAGATAGAGCACTTTCTATCATTGATGAAATGAAAACTATCTCTGATTGCAAGCCAGATGCCTATACGTATACAATCCTCATTAATTGTTGTTGCAAGCTCCGGCAGTTTGATCAGATTCCTGAATTGCTGGCTGACATGTCTTATTTAGGGATAGAATGTACTACTGTTACTTACAATGCAATAATAGATGGTTATGGTAAGCAGGAATGCTTGGAAGAAATGGAGAATAAATCTCTATCCAGCATGCTAGAAGCCGGTAGTTGTCTGCCTGATGTTGTCACTATGAACTCCATTATTGACGCTTATGGGAACAATGAAAGGATTATAGAGATGGAAAAATGGTATGATGAGTTTCAGCACATGGGCATCGATCCCGATGTAACAACATTCAACATCTTGGTTAAGTCATATGGGAAAGCTGCTATGTATGAGAAAATGGACTCTGTTATGAAGTTTATGAAGGAAAGGTTCTTTTCTCCTAGTACGATCACTTTCAATCTAATAATAGAATGTTTTGGGAGAGTGAAGAACATTGAGAAGATGGAGTATTATTTTAGGTTAATGAAAGTTCAAGGATTTAAACCGAATTCCATAACTTATTGCTCACTAGTTAATGCATATAGTAGAGCTGGATTTCTTGAGAAGGTACCTGCAATGATCAGGCAAATAGATAACTCTGATGTTGTTCTGGATACAGCCTTCTTTAACTGTGTGATTAATGCCTATGGTCAAGCTGGAGATATTAATATAATGGAAGAAATGCTCTTGCTTATGAAGGAAAAGAAATGCAATCCAGATAGCATCACCTTTTCTACTATGATCCAAGCATACAGGCGTATGGGAATGGATGAAGCTGCTCGGGAATTGGAGATCATGTTGAATGATCATAAAACCAAAATTCTAGTAAGTTGCTCTCGTCTTAATTCATGCTTCTAATGTAACTTCTCTATAATGGTTATGTTAGACAATGTGTGGTAATTGATTATCATTTCTGCTCCCATCATCGAAATGCTTGACCTTGTAATAGGATTTTTGTTTTTCCCTATCATACATCATAGTGTTACTGGTATTCTCATTTAGTATTCAGGATTTATTCATAAAGAGTTTTCTTTTCTTTTCATTTCAGAAAACAGGCTGATATTAAGCGCAGTCTCCATACTATGGACACAAGGTGATGGGAGGTTAGATGGAAATATATAGCGGAATCTTGACTCACGTATGCGATCTACGAATGTCAGGTATTACATCTCCTATTTGTCTGGATTTGCCTATCATTTAACTTTTAAGTTATTCATACCCTCAAAATAATAAGTCTAGGTGACTATAATTTTTGAAGTTAGCTATTTTAACTCTACTATATATCTTCTGTTACTATCCTTTTCTGTTGTGGAGACCTATTAGGAAAATCGTTTATAGTTATTGCTTCCTAAAATAACACAGAACAATGATGTGATTGTAGAAGCATAATAATTTCAAATATCTTGTTTTCCATAGGTTTTGCTAACAAAAAGGCAATTGCCCTGCGCTTGTCCTGTTCCATATTAGGTCGGAATCTCAAGGACCTGAACAATTAAAGAAAACCAACACATTCAAAGTTATCATCTAGATGTCATATGTACCCAATATCTACTGAAATGACAACCAGTAAAAACTTGAAATATGACAAGGAATACCTTTCGCTCTTGAGTTAGCTTTAACATGGGATACTCGTCAAGCACTACCTAAATCTGCCTATGTATTCATCTTTGAACCAAACAATAAAAAGATACATATTATAAATCATTCGCTTATGTTTAAATAGGGAGTTGGTGTGCTGAGATAAAAGAATAATTAACAACCGTTTTAATGACACATTTGAAATGGACAGACATATAAAACTTGTTCTCCACTTCGGCCCCTAGGATACCCTCCATTTTTTCCCACTAGGTGGTTGTATATCTTTAAAAGACAAACAACTTCCAATGTTAATCTCATATGTATTAAGCTTATAAGGCAACATGATTCAAACAAATAATTAAAGGATACCCACCTCAGAAGTCATGGACAATAACTTCCTTACTGCCTGAAAAGCCACTTACTCGGCCTGTAAACGACACAAAATTCAAGAAAAAAAATAAAGATGAATATATTAAATATTTTTATCAGGAAAGGAATATTATGGGTTTCCTTGCTTAAATTACCTTTTCTCTAGTTATAGCACAACCTTGAATATCCGTGTATTGGCTACCGACATAGTAAAACTCTTCTCATTTCACTAATTTATAAAGCTATAAATGATGAATTGAATAGATCAAGGCTAGCTCAATTATAGGAATCAAAATGAGGCAAATGCGAATGTGAGGTAATGTACCTTCTCTAGGAACCCTACTGCTAAATATTGCATTAGTAAAATACTTTGCACAAATTTATAAAGCTATAAATGATGAATTGAATAAATCAAGGCTAGCTCAATTATAGGAATCAAATTAGCCAAATGAGAATGTGAGAGAATGTACCTTCTCTAGGCACTCTACCGCTAAATATTGCATTAGTAAAATACTTTGCTAATGAAGGTGAAGGTGAGAGACAATGGCTAAAGAGAGTTGTCAGCAACTTTTTAACAGCGAATTCTTTGTGATAATTGGAACATTGACTTGGTCATTTGTATTTGCGTTTTGATGTGAATAAGGTATTATTTTTTGTACTAGGATAGTACTGGGAATTTTGAGAATAACTAGTTTCAGGCCCGTGCGATGCACGGATTTGTGTAATATACAAAAATTGATGTAGTAAAAGAATGCAAAATAAAACAGTAATAATATATAAGTAGTAAAAAATGATACAACCTAAGCTGCATATATGTTTGACTTAATATTAAACTGTAAAAAAGAATGAAAATATAATTTCCCTATTCTCATAACAAAATTGCTTAAAATGCCTCATGTCTATATGATTAATGTTATAATATTTTGCTATACCTGTCAAGTATAATTTCCCTATTCTCATAACAAAATTGCCTGGATTTGTGTAATATACAAAAATTGATGTAGCAAAAGAATGCAAAATAAAACAGTAATAATATATAAGTAGTAAAAAATGATACAACCTAAGCTGCATATATGTTTGACTTAATATTAAACTGTAAAAAAGAATGAAAATAAAATTTCCCTATTCTCATAATAAAATTGCTTAAAATGCCTCATGTCTATATGATTAATGTTATAATATTTTGCTATACCTGTCAAGTATAATTTCCCTATTCTCATAACAAAATTTCCTAAAATGAAAGTAGTATGCAGCATAAAGTTTAGTTCCAAACAAAATATTTAAAGCACATAGAGATACCTGTGAAGTATATATATCTACGATTCAAAATAATAATTATCAATATATTGATAAACAAAATATCCATCATAATCATATCAAGTAGTTAGGTTTCTCAACGCAAAACCACCAAAAAAATATGTAGTGCATACAAAACTTTACTAAATAAGGTTTTATACCAGAATACTAAATATAAGTTTCAGACATCATGAATCAGGTAGACTTTTTTCAAAAAGGAGCTTGAACTCTCTATAGAATATTTCTGATTCTCTTTTTCAATTTTGATCGGTTTTTGCTTTTTGTTGCTTGATATTTGCGGAGAAATCAAGTCTACTGCAACTGAGTGCTCGACATCAGATTCCAACAAATTTCTCTTGCAATGTGTAATGTTATCCGAGGAACAAATTTTAACTTCATTGTCACAAGTGACTGATAGCGAGACCCGTGTTTCAGTATAACATAAAAGTTAGCATGTTAATGAGGTGACAGGAAAAGATTATTGTACAATTAATACGAAGAATCAAGAAATCAATAGTAAGGCGAAAAGAAATAGGCAATCCAAAAGTTTTTAATGCATTGTGTCAAAAGTTAATTAGAAGCTTCACGGGATTGATAATGGGTCATTGACAAATAGAACATGGTGGAATGTATAAATTGATGTAGCAAAAGGATGTAAAACAAAACATTGTTAAAACTATGATAACCTATGATCAATAATCTTCTCAGTGAATTTGATTAATTAACCTAGCTACTTCTCTCATTAATCTATGGTTTTTAGGATTAAACTTTGATATTTCTTTTGATATTAGACCTTGATATTTTAGGTTGATAATTCATTTTACCTTGGTATAACTAACTTGCACTTACCCTTCATTGAAATCGTGTTGATTTTATCTATAATTTGTAAGTTTCCTTATGGATTTTGTGATCCAGATTCGAACTTGATATCACTGCAAGTGATTGAATTCAGGTGATAGTACAAACTGAGCTTCTCAGTGACTTCATTCGAACTTGATATCACTGCAAGTGATTGAATTCAGGTGATAGTACAAACTGAGCTTCTCAGTGACTTCAAGCAATGCGGATGTAGAATAAAGTGATTGAATTCAGGTGATAGTACAAACTGAGCTTCTCAGTGACTTCAAGCAATGCGGATGTAGAATAAAGGGACATAAGAAGTTAGTTTGTCTATAATGAATTTCAAGTGGTTTTAGTCTGCTAATTGTAGATAAAACCACAATATTATACAATGGAAAATTTAAGGAAATTGGAACTAATCTAAGATGACCAGGAATATGACATGAACTTTTACATACTTCTCTCATAGAATTGGCTATGTCTATTCATAACTACTAACAAAAACAAATGAAAGCACAATCCTTCATAACTACTAATAAAAGCAAAACTTTATATACCAAACTCATTGCCGTATGCACAGAGTTAATACGAATGCATAATGAGCATCTCTTGTGTGATGCAGTGCTATAATTCATTCAGTACATACATGCGTTACTTATGCTTCATGTGCAAAAATTGAAATAAGCAAATAAGAGCATAAGCACTGGATAAATACATGTTATTGTCAGAAATAAGCAAATAAGAGCATAAGCTATTAAAGGGTAAATGTATTTAAACATCCATCATTAACTAAAATTAAACTAAGTGCACATGAAGGATTTTGCTTAAGCGTGAATTTCAAGTTGTTGCTCATTTCAATATATTGTCAAAAAGAATGGAAAATTTCCATATAGATGCATGTGCAAGGGTTACATTGCCAAGTTTCCTTATGGATTTTGTGATCCAGAATTCGAACTTGATATCACTGCAAGTGATTGAATTCAGGTGATAGTACAAACTGAGCTTCTCAGTGACTTCAAGCAATGCGGATGTAGAATAAAAGGAAATAAGAAGTTAGTTGGTCTATAATGAATTTCAAGAGGTTTTAGTCTGCTAATTTTAGATAAAACCACAATATTATACAATGGAAAATTGAAGGAAATTGGAACTAATCTAAGATGATCAGGAATATGACATGAACTATTTACATACTTCTCTCATAGAATTGGCTATGTCTATTCATAACTACTAACAAAAACAAATGAAAGCACAATCCTTTATAACTACTAACAGAAACAAAATTTTATATACCAAACTCATTGCCGTATGCACAGAGTTACTACGAATGCATAATGAGCATCTATTGTGTGATGCATTGCTAAAATTTATTCAGTACATACATGCGTTACATATGCTTCATGTGCACAAATTGAAATAAGTAAATAGGAGCATAAGCACTGGAGAAATACATGTTATTGTCAGAAATAAGCAAATAAGAGCATAAGCTATTAAAGGGTAAATGTACTTAAACATCCATCATTAACCAAAATTAAACTAAGCAAATAAGAGCTTAAGCTATTAAAGTTGTTGGTCATTTCAATATATTGTCAGAAAGAATGGAAAATTTCCATATGTAGAAATTTTATAACAAAAGGTAAAAGTAGAAATTTTATAAAATAATTGAAACAGTAGAAGTAGAAATAATTTGTCCAAGTGTCCCATTGCGAATTTTGATAGCATTACACATGGAGAAGTTCTCTTCTTGAGTCGAAGTGCTAACTTTTCGCAGTAAGATATGATAATAGAATATGCTATATACCAATTATAGGACAAAAATGCATGTGTAGAAAATAAATAAATACGATAATTGGCATGGCATGCAACTCAATGTTTGCTAAAACTGCTCTAATCTTGATCTGAATTGTCAAAATGGAAATATCTTAAAGAAACCCCTTTGGGAAATGTATGGTTTATTGCTGCATATTAATAGAATTACTTATCAAATTCCACCAATAAATTATAAGAAAATAATCATACCTTTAATTAGGCTGTAATTAAAAGGGTATAAGATATAGATCAATACCTTTCAACCTAAACTATGGTGAGTCCAACAACCTCTGCAGCCTTCCTTGAAAATCTTCGATGTAGATGGTGGAGGTGAGGATGAATAAGATGAAGCATTGATGGCTTACCATATATAAACATCTTCAGGTCGACGCTTGGGATCTCAAGGTGGAGCACGAATTCTGAGCACAATCAAAACTTAAGACGACTGGGTTCTCAAGGAGGAGCATGAATTCTATGGTCGGCAAAGACGAAGAGTCGAAGCACGATTTCTCTAGGAGACGAACACGAAGAGGCGTTCTTGGGAATTGAAGAAAAGGGAAAAATCTGCGGTCGAATTTAGGGGGCTTGTTAGGGTTTATTTTGGGG